GATTGTGAATCATATGCTTGAGCACGACCTCTTGGAGTTCTGGATCTTGGGCAGACGGGATCTCGGCAGAGATAATGCGGTCGACGTTTTCGGGAGTACGCAGATCATTCTTGGAGACTTCATCTAGGAAAAATACAACGTGAGCGTGGGGAAGACCGCGTTTTTGAAATTCGATGACTCGTACATGGGCAACGACGGTTCCGAATACTTCCTCGTTGATGACCAAGGAAATGAGATCTTTCATTTTCAGACGAAACACACGTGCGCACAGGTCCGGTCTGTCCTGAGGCGTTTGGTTCGGCAGTAGGGGTCTTGTGATCTCCGGCCAGCTTGGATTGCATGTCATAGTGAGGAAGATGTCCGGGTGGCCAATTTGGTTCGATATAGCAATGATGTCGTGCATCTGCTGCCTCATGTAGCGGTCACCTCCAATGTACGTGGAAGGGAGAATGAACAGTCGTCCCGCACGCACGGCATCGGCTTCATCTTCAGCACGACCGGAGTCTCCTAGGCTGTCGCGCAGTGAGGTGTAGTCGGCTGCTCGAAGCTGTGTCTGGTTGTGGCGGAGATACGAAAGCCTTTCTGCCTCCACTTTGCAGAACTGGTCAACCAAATATTGCTGAAAGAGTCGCGCTGCGTGCAAGATTGTGCTGAACTCGCCTGCTCTTTCGAACAAATGCCATCCGTAGTACATCATCGGAGTAATCTTGGTACGTCTGCCGTCGTCATCACTGGAGAATCGAAGCTCTGGATACCATCCATCTCTACCGTTCGGGAACAAAAGCACGTAACTCAACGGATCGTATGCACGATGACTGACTGAAATCGGATCCAGCACTTCGTTCCCGTTACTGTTCAGAGTCCCTCGCCTGCGCACGACGATATCTCTTCGCCAAATCTCTCCGTCTTCATTTCCAGGGATCAATGCTGCCACTTCAGAAGCTTCGGGACCATTGTACCGGCGCACGTGCTCATGACTTGGCCTGCGGTCGGCATGGATGACCATCTGGTACGGGGCTGGAGTGTTGGGTTGAGGGGATTGAGCCCATTCTCGCATACTGAGAACAGTCTGCACGTAGGGGTTGCATTCGTGCAGCATGTGCGTCAGTTGCATTAACAGTGTGTCTTCCAGCCGTGTAGAGGCTCCGCCAAGCCTTGTGCGCGTTTGAGTACCGTAGTCAGTGTCGTGAATGTAAAAGGAGGCAAAGGAAGGCGCCCGCCCCTCGGATGGCATCATGGGACCCATGTAATGGTACATCTCGCCCTGCATCGTCATTGTGGGGTTAAAATTAGAAGTACCGGGCCCTCTGTTCACCCATTTGGCGACCACGGACGCCATAGACAGTGCTGAATTGTATGCTCGAATGTTTTTACGGAAGCGGCGGGCCCTTGGAGTATCATCGATGAGAAGAGAGCGCAGAAGAGCTGGCGGGTCGGTGAGAAGGGGCAGTGACAGCTTCCCCTTCGCACAGCATGTGGAAAACATGGGCCTTGCGGCAGAGCTGCTCACGATGCGTTCTTGGACGAAATGCAGAGCTTTGCAGTGCGAACACTCAATATGGACCATGCCGAGATCGCGAAACGAAGGCGAGGATTCGGGTAGTGGGGGGAAGAGCTGCCGAGAAGCCGTTCGAGCCTGGCCGTCGGATCGTTGCCGGGCATTCCGAGTCGGTGTGTCTTGTGCATCCCTTGATCGTTGGGTGGATAGACGGTCAAGGTCTCGCCGCGCCTCACGAGCAGGAGTAATTTCCTCGGCTCTAGCTCCTCGTGTCGCATTGCGATCCGCTTCGCGCCGTGCATCTCGGAGGGGGGTATTTTCTTCCGCTCTAGCTGCTTCTGTGGATCTTCGGTTTGAGTCTTGACGCTCATGTCTCTCTGGGGTTGTCGCGTCAGCTCTTCTCTGTTGCATTGAGACACGAGAGGCCTCCAATCGAGTTATGCGGTCAGGAGTGCTCTCAGCCTGTCTCGTGCGTTGCATAGATGCTCGATTCGAGGCTCTGGCACGTTCCGTTGCTGCTCGGAGCTTTGGAGACTCTCTGGGACCCTCTGTCCGTGATTGACCGGCTCTGCGCGCCCTGGTTCTCTCCCTGTTTCGACGAAGACTCTCTTCGCGCTGCTCAGAAGTCTCTGCTGCTCTTCGTGCTGCAGTACGTTCCCGGGCGGTTTGGCGACGCGCTTGAGCCTCAGATTCGGTGTGTTGTCCCCTCCGGATTCTCGCCCGAGCTCGACCTGCCTCACGACGTGCTTGAGCTTCAGGTTCCGACTCTTGCGCTCTCCTTGCCCTTGTACGCGCGTTTCTTTGCTGCCTTCTTGCTTCTGCTACGTCTTCATCTGCTGGTCCCGCCATTTGTGTTATGCCCAGCGCGCTAGTGGTATCTCAGCAAGTGCAGCTAGGGTTGACGCAAGTGCGAGGGGTCCGTTGTAGATCGCTATGAGTCGTAGCAAGCAGTCCTCAAAGGTCTAAACGCAACGTCAGCCAGCTAGGTCGTCCGCGAGAGCACTTAGCAAAAGAAGTAACAGTAGGGCCTTTATTGTCTTGTACTATCCCGTGATCGATTGGAGCTTCCTCTTGTGCTTCTTGCCCGCCAGGTGTCGCCTAAAGTCGTGGGCACTTGCCACCGTGCACGTACACACCTCGCAGCGGAATGTGCGGCCCGCTTGAATCACTTGAGCCACGTGCCCCTCGGTATGCGCATGCCCGTCCCACAGTACCGCGCGCGTGCAATGAAAGTTGCAGATGTCACACGTGTACACGGGCACACTCCGCAACACAGCACTGACAGCTGGCAACGCGCGCGCACGCGGACGCTCGATTGCACGTGGCACACGTGCAGCTGGCAACGCGCGCGCACGCGGCCGCTCGATTGCACGTGGCACACGTAGCCCACGAAATGTAGGAATGATAGGCGGGGGCAAACGTATAACACGTGGGACCGGAGCGCGTGGTACACGTGGTGCGGGTGCTGGCGCAGGGGCGCGTGGGAGCCGTGGCACACGTGGGAGCGGCGCGCGCGGTACACGTGGGGCGGGCGCGCGGGCAATTCTGGGGACGTGTACACGTGGGGCGGGCGCGCGCGGAGGAGCTGGTTGTAGGACTGTGACACGTGTGGTCGCTGGCGGGGAATCGCCGAAATCGAGGCGGATCGGGGTCGCGGCGCGGCGCGCGCGGCGTAGTTCTTCTCTCTCTTCTTGCGTAGACACTGCGTAAAAAACCACACACCGTCAAATGTCAGTAAGCGTTCGCGTGCGCTCTAATACCGCGGGCGGCAAGCCGGCCGGAGCAAAGAGGACAGTTAGTAACTTACTGATTTCGCGTAGACGGTGTGCTCCGGGATCGCTAGCGAACGCGAAGCGGATCGGGGCTGTATTATTATTTTTACTCTACTGTAGTGTTAAATTTAAATTCGTAAACGACTGTAGTGCCGCATTGGTGCCCGTGGTAGCCACGTGTCCCAGTGGCGTTTTGAGCCATATACCGTAGTCAGTATCAACATCGCACATACGACGATTGAGGCCCGGACGATACGTTTAGTGTCATTACGTA